TATCATATTGTCATTAGTGATTACATTTAGAGAAGGAATTCTCGTGACTAGTAGAGTTCACTTGTGTCAGGTGTGAGGTAGTTACCCAACGAAAACAATGGAATATAATCTCATAATTTGTGTACTGCTTCCATGCTTTCAATGATGGCCTAACTGTTATATTTGTGGCATTGTGTCCAATTAATATACAAACTCAATGACACTGACAAATAGAGAAAAGTGAATTATCAACCGGACCAATGACACATAAACCCATACGAGCAGTTTACAGTCCATATCAGTACTTCTTCCTCCTAGCCCTGACTGTTGAGTCCAGAATACCAATCTCAGTCTCCGATATATGAGTCATATATTTCAAACATACTGGGTTTATATACAAGCCAGAACGGACCACATCACACCATGAAACGGGAAATAACACTTGTACAACATCAAGCCAAAAAGTGGTCGTGAATGTGGGAGACTGTAATGAATAGATTTAGCATAACTTAAGAATGGTAAATCGTCTAATAATAGTCTATAGGTCAAAATAAAGCTTATAATAAGAGAAACATGAATATACATAGTTTAGTTACTTAACAACTACAACTATACAATAAATAAACCGATACCCGACATGAAATAATATTAGGTTTCTCAGATGGTTGCTCGAATTTGGTAACTTAAAAGACGTGCATTGGCGTATGTGAAGTGATATTTCGCCAACGCATCTACAGTCGACTTTATTGATCAACTGTCAATCATTCTGTACAAGCGAGTTTAAAATAATCATATTACAGAGTTACTAAAACGTAGCAAAGAATTTAGTATTCGAATAACTGACACCGTACTTATCATTTAGATTCATTCACTAAATGATAAGAGACCTACCTGTGGATGTTCCTACCATACATTCTCTAAAATTATGTAAACAATGAAATGTAGTCCAAGGACACATAAAATAATCCTTATATTTGGTCTAACAAATCAACGACCCTCTTAAATGATTTACTCTTTAGATTCACTTCGTGATTACCTTTTATAAATTTCGAACCCTGTAAGGTTTCTGTTATATTCCGTTAACTATGGAGTCACTTAACCATAGTATGTGACACTTCAGTGGTGCACATCGACGACCCCACCCCTGAGGACTGAACCCGTCATCTTCGGTCTCACACGTAAACGCTTAAACTTTAGAGTACTGAGCCATGATTTATTGATTTACAACTTTGAATTCAGCCAAACCCCAATGTCGAAAAAAACCATCTTCCAATGCACTTGATATGTGACTACCTCACACTCGACATTGTTAAATTTCACTGGTCACGATTTTTCGCTAGAACTCCGGTACTACCTTCAGAACTTAGTCATTTGTATTCAAGCACAAGCCTGAAGTTGTTGGATTCGATTTTCAGTAGTGAGACTGCGGCTATTCACTGTTGAAGTGTCATGTACTAAGACGAAATAGCTGTCTAGTGCCTTCTGGTTTTTCATTGTAAAATTAAGTTATTAGTAAGGGTTTATAACTTATCCCTGATAATATTCAGGACGACAACTGACCACACACCGTCACCATATGTGGATCTTGAGAGAAATGTCTCGATGTTTCATTGTTACGAGTTTTATTATATTTGGTATGCGGCTAGCAATAAAATCGATGGCACACAATTCGTCCTGTTTGAACCTCACCAGCTCGATATACGTATATCTTTGTGTTTATATTCACAACGAGACTTATATCTAGTACCTTTCACTTCAAACGCTCGAAATATAAGAGGCTGATTGGCTGCTGTCCAAAATATTGACAACAAGGAAATTCAAACCTTTTTTAATCTCTTCACACCAGTTGAACAAGTTAGTAGCTACCACAACTCAGTGGTTCAGTAAAAAGCATTCAAAGAGGAAGGTATTGAGTTCGAACTTTCGTGTTGACAATAACTTTACGATGTTAATTCATCGAACAAGATTCATGCCCTTGATTCCGTAGCCAGCCACACACTAAATATGAACTTAGCATTGAAAACTAGCGAGTTGTTGGAAAGAGGATAACCCAATATGTTCAGTCTTATTAGTCGTTAGTGAAAGTGTTTAAAGGTATACTGAACTTTCAGTATTTTAAAGTCCATAAATAGAAATTACTAGTTTATTGAAAGTCAGTCCAAAGTAATAATAATAATAATAAAGTATATATATAGATCTATTATGGACTCGTACATTTTTTTGTCTTAATCCTGTGAGCGGGATCGTAGATGCTCATTGTTGACGAGTCCCATATTACGACAAAACGGCCGTCCAGTGCATTCAGCTTTTCCGTAGTGGTCTTGCTTAGATTGACTCATGAACTCAACTATTTAATTAATTAAGTTGAGGTTTTCAAAATGACTTTAATCATTAGGAACACTAGATAAACATTATTCTAAGTGAATGAGGACAGAATCATTGTTCAGATTTATCGTCATATTATCAGGGGGATTCTAAGTATAAATAAATGATGTTTATCACAAGAAGAAATCTTATTATGGAACTAATAGTTTATAGGTTATTCATAATAAGACGCTAGGTAGTCTCTCATGATCAGTCAAACAAAATAATTCGAATGAGTTTAAGTTGATCCCAACCATTTAAACTATTTAATACAGTATTGTAGGTTAATCAAAAGCACTGGATATAATGGTTAGTGAACTGCTTTTTATCTGAACTAAAAGTCAAACCATTTCTATTCACGGTCTCTTTCCTGTCAAAAAGTTGGTATCGTATAATTGATCATTTAATTAGAACCAATATCATGTCGCTCAGTACTAGACAATTGATGTATTTCTATGGAACAGGTTGAAGTCAGGTTACACATCAAAATGCATCAATCCACTTGCATTTTCTTCGATATTCATCGGTTTTAGGTAACACATCGGAGATAGTAAAAATAGATTACGTGTTTTTAAGTGTTGTGGATTTTAGCACGGCTAATTATGACGTGACTGTGCCAAACCAATGACGTTCGACCGGTATGAGCAGCCTAGCGTCCTTATTGATTCTCTCTCCTCCTAGACTTGCCAGTTAAGTCCAGAACACCAATACCATCTTCCACTATGCAAATCATTTATTTCAAACATACTGGGTTTATATACAAGCCAGAACGGACCACATCACACTATAAAATGGAAAATAATACTTGTACAAGATCTAGCCAGAAAGGGGCTGTAAGTGTGAGAGACTGTAATTAGTAGACTAAACATAACTTGAGAATAGTAAATCGTATAGTGATAGTCTATAGATCCAAATAAAGCTACCGTAGCTATGCATAATTTAGTTACTGAATAGTTATGCAATAAGAATGTACGTATAATATTTGTCCGTAAATAGTTTTTAGAAGTTACCTATAATTTAATCTTCACTAGGAGATAACACTTTGGACTTATCAGTGAAGTGTATCTGTAATTTCGTGGTAACTGATTTCCCTAATGATACGTCATCCATATGTTGTATTCATACTTATTTTCACTCTGGTATTTAAAACACATCTAGTCATATGTATACTTGGTTAAGAAAGATTCAAAGTATTGTAATGATCGGCTAAAAGATTAGGAAGGAAGTAGTGAACTTGGTACAGGTTACTAGTTCCGATTTTTATTGGTTTTATAAGAAATGAAGTATATGTGAAGATTGTAGTAATTTAATTGTTGAATTCATGGGTCGAATTAAGCTAGACCACCATGATAAACCAGGAAGCAGTGGACGGCCCTTTCGTCCTAATATTATTAACAAAATACGTTCTTAGCATTATTCCCTTTACGTGTAACTCTAAAATCATTTAAGAAAATCTGACACGAAGTGATAAGTATTCGTTGACAAAAATCTCCAGGAAACGATATATATTCTTAGTGATTAAATAAATGATTTTTGTTATCTTTATTTAACAGTAATCTCAAAATTCTGTTTTCCACTTAATGTATCATATTATACTTTATTTCCTGAACCTTCTAGAAAGTACAATTCGAGCAGAGAAGAAGAGCCAACGAAAATGTGCGAAGAGGTGCAGTATTATTTAGTTAACAATTGGTTTTAATATACGACCAAAAAAGTGATAATAATTATAATTTGTTATATGTTAATATAGACTAACTCATAACTTTTCATGGATTATAGTGTCAATGTTTCGAAAGATTTATTCGACAAAAAAATTGACAAGATAATCTTTTACAATGACTGTACTAAATGATAAAAAGGAGCAATCAAAGTTTTGTTGCATTAAAGGGATCTTTTCAGGCAGTTAAAAATGGAATTAAAGATTTCAAATGTGATTTGCATTTCTTAACTTCATTTTTCTCCTGCCTGCTTTTTGCATATTATTCTATACTACTTTTAAAATATTGAGTAGTTTAGATTATGTACTGTTTTTTTATGTAGTGTAATGTAATTCATACCTCTTTATCTATTAGACATTTATTTTCCATATTGATTAGCAATTTTTAAACAAATTTTATCTTCTGTTTTAAGGGTTTCAGATTTGAATAAATTATTTAATTGAAACTATAGAACAGATCTTGTAAACAGTGATTACTTTATGAGCAAAGATGACTAGTGGCTAGCAGTGGAATCCAGGACGCGCGTTTCGTCCTATTTGGGAATCGTCAGCTGGATGTACTGGCATTTCAGAGTTGATGTTCACTCTGGGACTCGAAACCAGTATCTTTGCTTATAATGCCTGTGAATTAAGTAATATTGAAGCGATTGGCATATTATGCACATATGCCAATAAGAGACTGACCAATTACAGTTTTAAACATCAATGGGAAAATTCAAGTAAACAATACCAAGTAATTACTTTAGTGATATTAATATGCTATTGAAACAGCTTTTATCATGAAGCAGTGTAAACTGCAAAATACCTGAAAACTCACCATTTTAAAAGTACATTTTGATCAGTGTTTACCGATTGTCTATATTCACAGGAAATATTCTACATTACATAATATCAGTTTTAATCGTTGGATAAGTAATCATTATTGACACAGAAGACTTACGAAGGTTTGATATTAGCTTCAGTTAGTATGATCCTTTTATCTTGATTGAAAATTCATTTCAGTCAGTCATATAATAAAACTCGACCAATATTCGAAATATTTGTAGTTGGTCTTCATAATGAAGTTACATCAGTTATATGATTATTAATAACCAAGGAGTACTAGATGTATTTTGTCGTGAGCTAGAACTCACCAGTAGTAAGCAGTGACAATACCATATTATTACATAAAACCAGGTTTCACGTTAACACGTATGTTCTCATAATAATTGACTATAACATTCCAAGTTAATAGTATTTCATGATTTATGAGACTAATGCTGTGCCACAGTTTTGGTCTTATTTAATTATTTAGAGACATCTATTTAGTGTTGATTTACTACAAAATCCGTAACTTTATCTGGTTTAAATACGTTTAGGCGTCAATTAACTAATCAATCATAAATCTCTTTATGTTGTATAGAAGAATTAAATGAATATTGCGAATGTAAATTTGTAAATAACTAGTCATATGAACTGAAGATACTGTTTACTTTCAATTTAAATGTACATTGTTGTTTAATAGAAATAATAAATTACTACTGTTAAATTACTACAATCTCCACAAAACCTCTTTCTGGTAATAATCATCAAATACTCACTAGTAACTGGCTTCAAGAAGTATTTACTGGAGTTCTAGTGAAAAGATGTGACCAGTGGAGATCAACCAGATCTGTTGTGAGATAATAACACACTAAAAACAATGATGGATGTATTGCTCAATTTCGTGGATTACTTTAGTTTAGAAATTAACACCACTGAATGCCGGCTCAGTAGTCTAGAGGTTAGGTGTTCGCGCCTCAGACTGAAGGTCCTGGTTTCGAATCCCGTGAGTGGGATCGTGGATGCACCCTGCTGAGGGGTCGCATACTAGGACGAAATGGCCATCCAGTGGTTCTAGGTTTTCCATGGTGGTCTAGCTTTATTTGACTCATGAATTCAACTCTTAAATAAAAGAACCGTGATGATAATAATAAGTAATGAAAAATTAAGAAGATTAAGAACATTAAAAGGATGTATTAACAATAAAGTTATCGCTTATGAAAATTATGTGCAAGGGCTATAGAAGAATGATTGCTTGTATGTGTTGCTTTCGCACATAGAGTTCAGGTGGGAAATGGTGGATTGACAACGATTCACCAATGCATAAGTTATTGATTTGAGTTCCTTAATAATTAAGCCATCTGAATATATAGATGATTTCGAAGGACTTACAAGGTGGGGCCATGTGATCAGATGTTTTAATACTGAACTTCTGATTGGTTTACATTCACCTTTAAAAATCCACACAGGATGATGTTTTGAGATGCGTTTGGAAAGCTCTCGCTTTGTGCGGCCAATGTTAAATACTCCATAAGAGCTAGGAAACTAATAAATTTACATCGATGTGACACAATATGGCCCATCAACATATGATTTCATTATTACTGGACGTAAATAAACAACAAACTTTCACCAGGTACACAAAGTTATCAGTTTTAGATGGAGATCTGTTTTCTAAGCTAAATAGTTTGGTCGTGGATCTTTCATTGTTCTTCTGAACAACATTATCAGCACAAACTTCAGGTGGAAGTGAAGTGTTCGAATTTTTCTACATACAACACAGCATGTCTTTCTTCTGTCTAGCTTGTGGTCCTATGGTTTGTCTTGTTTCCCGTTAAGTTTCTTTATGTATTGATGTTTGTGGATCCTGTAGTGTGCATCAGTTATCATTAGGTGTATCATGATCGTGGATGGACAAAAGAGGAAGCTGATGGAGATATTTACATGAGAATGTTTAACAATCCTGACAGCAGCATTCGTGGTATCAAGCAGACGACACAGAGGACAAAGAAGAAATACCCTCAAGGAAAAATAATCAAGGTTTTAAAACCACCCGCAGAAGAAAACATAATCAACTGAATGATCAACCAGACAAAAGAATCTCTGATGAACATAAAAGAATACCTCCTTCGAACGAGGTCAAATACAATACAAGTGACGCTTCAAAACTAGAATTCTTCAGTTCACTACTGTCATAACTCAACAATCCCAGAAGAAATGAAGAAACTCAACAGGAAATTAGACAAACCATAGTACCGCCAACTCGACTGAAGAAAGAAAACACCCAACCGACCGCACAAGTACAAAAAGCCTTAAAGAAACTCAGAACTAGGGAAGATATAGAAGACATCAGAAATTACAACAAGATTATTAAGGCCGTTTGGAGTAGATGTAGCACACAAAATAGCAAAATTACTTCTGTTAATTTGATGCAAATCGAAGTACGAAATAACAAAAAAGGGAAAACCGAACATCATCTACAAAATAAACTGTTACAATTGTCAAAAACACTATATCTGACAAAATGGACGCCCTCTTCATCTTCGCCTGCATAAACGTCAATTAGTGGTCAAGCTATGGTGAATGAATGTCAATCAAATAACTTTTTTTATTTTTATTTCTTTTACATAATCTTATTACGATTGGTATATTAACTAGACTTTGTTCATAATTATGTTGAATAATTATTATGCTACTGTTTATTAATTTCATTACTTTTACGTAATCTAATTTCTCTTCGTTTTATTACTTAGTAACTATAACACCACTACTCTACTCTCTCTTCTGTCTACAACATCAACTCTGGTATGCAGGCACATCGAGCTGAAGAGTCCCAAATAGGACGAAACTCTCATCCTGGGCTCCACTACTAGCCACCATTCATTTTTACTACTATCCTTTTTCCCAGTATATGTAAATATTTGTCAATCCTATTTTGTGGTATATTATTCTTGTTATAATCTACAATTTCATTTCGAACACCCAATAATACTTTATCGACTAAAGCATATTCAATCTTTGTTTATAATTACTTCTTGTAATTTCAAACTATTTCCAACTGAGATAAGAAGCCTTGAAATAAAATAGGGTATATAATTCGTATGGAAAACTATTATAACTATCATCAAAGTGGTACAAGTATTTATTAGCAATTGCCTACTCGAGATATTTACTTCCCGATGATCGGATATCATCAGCAACAACCTACTGTAGGAGAGAACAAACCAAATTCCATCTAAAGAGGAAATTAAGAAAAGACGTTGAAGGTGGATATGTGGATAAGACGTACATTATGGAAATCATCAAACTGCATCACGAAGCAAGCTCTAACATGGAATCCTGAAGGGAAACGGAAAAGAGGAATACCAAGGAATACATTGCGTCGAAAATTGGAACTAGACATGAAAAGAATGAATAGCAACAGGAAACAACTGGAAAGGATTGTCCATGACATAGTTAGATGGAGATAGGTGGTCTATACTCTTCCACGAGGTGTAACCGAGATTTAATGATATGAAACCAGTTAATTTATCGAAATACTAATATATTGATTTCTGATGTATTCCATTTGCATTTCATACGTTTTTAATGATTAAATGCATAGTTTCTAACGAATTATTTCGAAAAATTTGTAAAAAAATATTTATACTGTTGTTTTTTCTTTTAACGATAATCTTTGTTCATAGTTTAACTGAGAATTCAATCGACTACTAATTAATACATAATTTTATAATTGAACTCATAAGTCAATTGAAGCTAGATCACCATGGAAAACCTGGAAGCACTGGACGGCCGTTTCGTCCTAGTGTAGGACTCGTTAGCAGTGCGCGTCCACGATCCCGTTGAATGTCGGTTCAGTGGTTTAGAAGTTAAGCGTTCGCGTACGAGACCGATAAGTCCTGGGTTCGAATCCTGAAAAGCAGGATAGTGGATGCGTACTGCCGAGAGTCCCATATTAGGACGAAACGTCTGTTCAATACTTCCAGGTTTTCCATGGTGGTCTAGCTTCAATTGGCTCATGAATTCAATCATAAAATTACTAAAATTTTCACAAAACAGCCTCCCGATAATAATAAATCATTGTTAATGAAAGTAATTTGTCATTTATCATCTCTCAATTCCATGCATAAAAATGAAAGAAAAAGGTATCCTATAGAGTTAATTCACAATTAAAGGAATAACACTTCCGAAATTCATATGATTTACATTAATTTGTTGTTGTTGGTGTTGCTACGATGAACTATTTATTGTGGAATTTTATTACAAACAAAATGAAATCAGTCAAAATAATCACTAAGCTTCATTGTTTGTGTGTGTATGTGTTTGTGTACTGAAAATTTTCTATGTCAATCAAATAAACATTCTATCGATAAACTAAACGATTATTAATATAGTCTGTATACATTCTATCATAGTTGAATCATTCTTCTTCTATGATATTTGATGTTTTTGATCTCCGGGAATAAAAAGTTTTTTATTCGATTTTTTTTTGTTAAGGAATTTTAGTAACAAACGAAAATAATTGATGAATTGTATGTTTGTGAATGTTCTTAGCTTTTGAGTTAAATAACTGTGTCGATCATTGAATAATCAATGATAATATAAATAGTATAATACTGGGTTCGAATCTCGCGGGGGGCGGGATCGTGGATTCGCACTGCTGAAGAGTTCCATACTAGGACGAAACGGCCATCCAGTGCATCCACGTTTTCCATGGTGGTCTGGCTTCAACTGACTCATGATTTCAACCATTAAAAGCTTAGTGTTAGACTATTGTATGAATATCGTTGAAGAGGGATGAAATAAGACGAAACCTTTTATACACATAGCTCGTTTTATTATCTTAAAGAGAGCAAGCATGAAGATTTGTGCACCAAACTTCGTTCATTCTCTCTTTAAGACGAAACAGTTATTTATCAATGAATGGTTATCAGTAGTTATTCTATTTATGTCAGTTCAACAGTAAGAACAGTATTAAATAACTGTTAATTAAATTCTGATAGATTATTCGGTGGGACTATAATTTATGGACGACCTTTGAGCTACACTAGACTGATCTTGAGAGTGTCCACCTAGTAACTAGCACCAAATAAGGGTTATATACCTGTTTGAGGGATTAGAATTAGGAGTTTCATCACGAACTGACATCAGCTATGAAGCTAAAACTCTATTTAGCTAAGTGGGTGAATGGATTTCCCGCCAAAATCTAAGACCTGTTATCCCAAATCTGATTGGTTTGTCCATAAATTATAGTCTCGCCGATTATTCATTTCTATTAATTTTATGTACAATGTTGTATTATTGTATCATCTATTTCATATTTAATGGTCATTCCTTTTTCTATCATGTAATAATTGTGCCTCTTTGCCTTAATGATTCATTAACATCATCCTGAACCTTTATTTTGTATCTAATTTGTCTAAGTATTCGTAGCTCATTTAACTCTAATTAAGAGGATCATCGATATCTGTTCCAGGTTATTTGATCT